ACACACACACACACACACACACACACACACACACACACACAAACACGAGGCTTTTTAGAGACCTTTAGATCTAAGCCATAATACCAAGTGCACCCAGCCAGTGGAAAGTAGACAATGCCCCTTCCCCAGCATCAAAGTGGGACACAGTGCTGTCAACAAGGGCAGCTCATCTGTGCCTTGGCATTTGGTTCCAAGGCTTTAAAAGGCCTCCACAGTCAGAAATGCACCTGGCCACCTCAGTTCCTAGCCCCTCTGGATATCAGGCTAAATCTAGGTATGGACCAGAGCCCTCAGGAAAACAAAGACACTCCTATTGTGACCTAGAGACCACCTCCCAAAGATGAGGGCAGAGGTCAGTATTCCTTGGAGGCAAAATGAATTCCTTCCTCCGCCAATCACACAGATTGGGACCATTCCAGCTGTATCTGCTGCCAATCTGCCCATGGGCCTGCAGAAGTTTCCAGAACTTGTCAAGAACAACAGCCACAACCAGAGGTGTGGTGTGGAACATATTCCTGACATGGTGAGTCCCATCTGTCATTGTCTGGCAGTCCAGTCTACACACCAACTTTGGGACCATGCCACTGTATTCACCGTGTGTCTGCCCAGCCTCCAGGTGGTCCCTAGTCTTCCAGGGTGCAAGGATCAGATAGGCCAGCAGAATTGTGAGGGATTTGCCTGGCATTCAGTGCTGGCCAGGCACTGACCTGGGCCAGTCCTGGCTCAGAGACACTTCCAAGGGCAAATCTTAGGCCAAACTATCACCATCTACAGCCTCTTTCAGCCACCCAACTCTCCTAAAAGGCCACCACAGAGACCTCCTGCTGCTGCAGGTTGATCCTCTCTCTTGCCAGGACCTGTCACCTGTGGGGAGGGCAGGGATCTGTACTCATGGGGCTCAAGTGCCTTGAGGCTTGAGGCCACATAGGCTTTTTCAATATGGAGATTAGCAAATGTTTTTTTGTTCTGTTGTATTTTACCTCAGATTTTTTTTCTGGTTAAAATACATAACATAAAGTATACATATTGAACATTTCAAATGTCTCATTCAGTGGCATTAGGTACAATAAAAATGTGCAATCCTTGCCTCTGTAAATCTTCAGAACCTTTTCTTTTTCCCAAACTATACTCATCAGTGGATTCATAGATGAATGTCCTCGTAGGAGGTGGAGCCTGGTTAGAAGTGGGTCACTGAGGGTGTGATCTGAAAGGGTGTTTTCTTGTCCTTGGCGCTTCTCTCCTCTCTCTCCCTCTCTCTCTCTCTCTCTCTCTCTCTCTCTCCCTCTCCTCTCCTTCTTCCTGGCCTTCATGGGTTGAGCACCTTTTCCTCTGCCAGGCCTCTCTGCCACCTTGTTTCCACCTTGAATCCAGCTGGTCATGGACTAAACCAGAAGCCAAAATAAATCTCTCCTTTTTTAACATGAGACTATTGGGTATTTCACCCCAGTAACAAAAAAGTGGTTAAAATAGATATTGGTACCAGGAGTAGGGTCATCACTGTGATTGTTACTAAATATGTGGTTCAAAGCCCTTTGAAACTCACTTGTGGGAGAAGTTTTGGAGATGCCAGCTACAGAAGCCCAGAAATGTTAAAAGTAAGTTTGATGGGAGAATCTGGCCAGAGCTCAGAGAACAATATGCTGATAGAAATGGATAGTGACAACCAAATTCAGGAGTTATAGCTGGGACCTAAACTCCACTGACAGTTATACTAGAGACCTTGTTTGTTAGCTTATAGCAGAGAATTTGTCTTCACTTTGCCTATATCCTAAGGATTTTCGGGAGCCTAACATTAAGGGTGGTGGACTAAGTGATCTGGCAGAGGAAATCTCAAAGCAGCCCAGTGTTCAGGATGTGATATAGATACTGGTGGCTGCTTTTAGCCAGGTATACAGTGAAAATCAGCATCAAAAAGCCCATGTGAAAAGTTTGCTGTTTCATATGAAAGAAGCACCTTCAAAGTTAAGGCAAAGAAAGGCATCGTTGCTGAAGAGACTAGAATTAAAAATAAGCCAAGGGCCAGTGATTTAGCTCAGTGGTTCCACCACCTGCCTTGCAAGTGTGAGGTCCCAAGTTTGATCCCTGGTGCCAAAAATAAAATTTTTTTAAAAAATAAGCCAAGTATTTGGCATTAGAATAATAGCAAAGATGGCTTAA